TAGTGTGGTAAGCATGTCTGCTATGTATTTGTTTCTTATCAATGGTTCATTTTGTTTCAAACAAAATTATTTGCAGTATTTTTTAAAAAGCTGAAATAGAGGCATGGTTCAAGTGGTAGAGAGCCAGTGTTGGGTGAAAAATCCCAGCAAAAGCATGAAGCATCAAGTTCATACATTTTGTACTTCAATACTGGCACAAAAAATAAATTAATTAAAATATGTGTGGAGAAAACAACCATTTGACACCATAACAAAGTAAATGAATTCATCAGAGATCCAAATGTTGATGAGCTATCTACATTCCATTTCCTACACTATTAAAGAAGGAAAATCATAAAATCCCAAAGTAATGCTTCTAGAATAGTTACTATAAATATAATTTATTCAAACACTTGGAGGGAGGGGAAAAGAATGCTTACTCATACTGCTGTCTCACTATTAGTTTATAAGGAGAGAAATAAGAATTTCTTTCTGGAATGTTCTAGCTAAATATAGCACATTTTTATGCAAATTCATACTTCTATCTAACATATCCTTTTTTTTTTTTTTTTTTGGGTCCAGTAGTGGGTCCTGAACTCTGGGCCTGGGCGCTGTCCTCTTCAGCTCACGGCTAGCGCTCTACCACTTGAGCCACAGCACCACTTCTGGCTTTTTTCTTTTTGCTTATGTGGTGCTGAGGAATCGAACCCAGGGTCTTGAGCATGCAAGGCAAGCGCTCTACCACTGAGCCACCTTCCCAGCCCCCTATCTAACATATCCTAAGTAATCTGGAAAGCATCTCAATTAGGCCCATTACTCCTTCTGGGGAAAAGTCTAGAATATTTTCTTATATGAAGTGTGTGTGTGTGTGTGTTATTTTCTTATATGAAGTGTGTGTGTGTGTGTGTTTATTTTACCTTGATTGTGACAGAGCTTCTCTCCTCATATTTGCATTCACAGCGCAGACAATATGCTTCTACGTCAGGTCCCCGCACAGGCATGGGCTCCACAACATGAAGACAGTCACTGGAGAAACAGGAAAAAAAACTGCTTAAGCCTTGCCTGATGTTCTACTTTCACTGATGAGAAGTTTCCTGAAGTCCAGAATAATCACTGGTTTTATCCAATAAAAAGAATGTAAGGGACAAGTAATAAACCAAAGTAAAGTTTCCTGTCTCAACTGTAGCATTTTGCTAAAACCAACAGTCTAACAATCTATAAAGATACATATGCAGTAGCTATCTATTATCTATTCCTTTTTTTTTTTTTTTGGTGCTAGTCCTGGGCCTTGAACTCAGGTCTTGAGTGCTATCCCTGAGCTTTTGTGCTCAAGGCTAGCAGTCTTGAGCCACAGCTCCACTTCTGGCTTTTTTTTGTTGGTTAATGGAGATAGGTGTTTCATGGACTTTCTGGTTGAGGCTAGCTTTGAATTTCAATTTTCAGAGATCTCAGACTCCTGAGTAGCTAGGATTACAAGCATAAACCACCAATGCCCAGCAATTTTCAAATTGCTATTGTTATCATTTTCAAATATAAGTGGAAAAATCCCAAAATGGAATAAAAAAACTACTCAACAAATCAAGTCATATTTAGACTTTCTCAACTACCAAGTAAAAGTACTTTAAAGGATTTACAGTGACATGAAACATTGTTTAAATATGAGATTATCTTTTATGAACTAACATCATTCTTAACTGTCACAATACACTTAACAGAGGGCAAATTATGAAACTCTGGAATTAAATACTTAAAGCCAGAGTAGGAAATAATTGCTTTCTCAATGAACAAAAGACTATAGAAAGAACAAGAAGTAAAAACAGGACATAAAAGTATTTTGACTTTCTACCTTGAAGGATATAAAAAAACCAAGGATGTATGTATGTATGTATGTATATATATGTGTGTTTATGTATAAAAGGCAAGGCTATCAAAAATCTCCTTTCTCAGAAAAATTACAAGTCTAAGAACTGTATGAATTTTCTCTTTAGCTATTACTCTGACTACCCTTCTGTATAACTCTAGTACTCTGAATACCTTCAAACAAAGTAGTGAAGCTTCCCTGTCCTGCCAGCTGCTGAGCAATTTTCTTCCCCTTTGGCATGTCTTTGTTGGGCATTTCTAGCTGCTTCAAAAACTTTACTACCGCATCCTATCGTATTCCATCCATTCTTTTGGGAGCACTCAGCACTCTAGATTGATTCCTTCTCCTATCAAAATGCACTTTGAATTCTGACATTAAAAAGTTTAAAATGTTCATTGATTCATAACCAGTAGCTTAATTGTAACAGATAGTAATGAAAAAATTGAACCTCAGCTTGGTGTGGTAATCCCCAGCATTTGGAAAGCTGGGGGCAGAAGAATGGAAAGTTTGGGTTCAGCCTAGACTATATAGCAAGATCCGGTCTCCAAGAATATCATTCCTCATTTATTAAAAGAAAAGGAAAGAAAAAAACTAAATCTCCACCAGTACAATTTTAGATAAAGTCTCACAATACACACCATAGAAGTGTGGTTATTTATCCCCATCATACAAGCCCAAGCATGTATTTACTTAATTCAAGCATAAATTGTGCAGAGGAAGGAAAAGTCCCTAAAAGGCCCTCCATTTCAAAATCAGAGGAGATCATCCAGATCAACACCTGTACACAGGTAGAGAGTGAATCAGTAGCTGAAAAAGGACAAAGATCCAGGTCTCCTGCTGTACAGGGAAGTCCTTCTTATCTCTCTGAACCTCAGGAAAATGACTTATTTCCTATTAGTTACCTATCCCAGGTTCACAAGTCTGAACAGCAATACCTATGGATTACTTAGGAATCTATGTTGAGTAAATTTCCTTTCAAGGACAAATATATTCTAATATAAAAGGTGTACAGGAGGCTGAGGAAGGAAGATTGAGAACTGGTTCTGGCTTATAAAATAAGACCCTGTTTCAAAATAAAACAAACAAGACACACACACACATAGGAAAAGGAAAAAAAAATTGTAGGGTTGAAGAAGCAACAGAAGGTTTGTTCAGACAAGGCCAGTCACACACACTGTGCAAACATTTTTAGAAACTAGGCAATACCTCCCCCTAGTGCCAAAAGACATTTTTAACTTTGAATAATACCCCAAACCAACTAGAAAATTAACTTTTCCTGTATTAAGTTATCCAAAATAGGGCAGTGAAGAAGGCAGTGAAAGCTAACAACTGGAAAAATGGAGGGTCTTAGAAAACAGAAGGTGAGACCTGACTGACAGATGGGGCCCAGGCCCTCAGGAAGCCATAATATGCTGACTGATCGTAAGTGGTATGCCTTTCTAAAGCCAGTTAAAAATCTCCAGTGTCAATTGGAAACTTACTCTAGTAAAAGGCTAAGCTGTAAGAAGGCAAGGGAAAGTGACAAGGAGGGGAAAGAGATACCAAACAAACCCTGCTTAAGTATTTCTTTTCAAAACTCCTTGTTTTGACTAATAACCTGATGTAGACAACATATGGAAAATATTAGCATTAAACACTTGAAAAGTGAGTTCATTTGCCACTCAAATAATAGCCATCATATTTTATTACTGGTAATAAAATAAACTGATGGGCAATATTCAATATCCTTGGAAAATTTATAGAAGTAATTTAAAGATTTGAGAGCTAGGGATGTAACTTAGTGGTGGAGTGCTTGACTAGAATTTGCAAGGCCCTAGACTCTATACAAGAGGAAAAAAAGAAAGAGCATTTGAGCTTTATTTTTCATTATATACAGTAACTTGTTGATATAAAACCTATATACCCAAATCACTTTGCAATGTGAAACCTTTTAAACTAGAAAACAGAAGTCCACAAAGAGTTCTCAAGAACTAACAGACAAACTGTATAGACCATGATAATGACAATTTGCGTTGTGAAAGTTAAAATGTTTTTTTTTTCTTTTTTTTTTTTGCTTATGTGGTGCTGAGGAATCGAACCCAGGGCCTCGAGCATGCAAGGCAAGTGCTCTACCACTGAGCCACCTTCCCAGCCCAGTTAAAATGTTTTTGTGACTCTAACTCCACAATACTGTGAAATATGTGAAATTTATGTAATCACCTAATCTCAACTAAAGAAAAAAGTGAGAGAAGGGATGGGTTAAGAGAGATGGGTGACAATATTGTCAGACACTTTGTACTCATATACTGGTTTGTAGAATGGGAACTTCTTTGTACAACTACTTAAAGATAATTAAAAAAAGAAAAGGAAAAAAAAACTAATAGACAAAACCCAAAATGCTTATCATAGGAAGAATAAACAATGGCAGGGCTGGGAGTATGGCTTAGTGGTAGAGTGCTTGCCTAGCATGCATGAAGCGTTGGGTCGCATGCCTCAGTACCTACATAAACAGAAAAAGCCAGAAGTGGTGCTGTGGGTCAAGTGGTAGAGTGTTAGCCTTGAGCAAAAAGAAGCTCAAGGACAGTGCCCAGACCCTGAGTTCAAGTCCCAGGCCAAAAAAACACACAAAAAAACCCCAAAAACCCCACATACACAAAAGAAAAGAAAAAAAATGGCATCAGAGAAATCAAATATGCTCAAAGAATACCTCTTCTTTAAAGTTAGTGTGGAGGGCTGGGAAGGTGGCTCAGTGGTAGAGTGCTTACCTTGCATGCCTGAGGCCCTGGGTTCGATTCCTCAGCACCACATAAGCAAAAAGAAAAAAGCCGGAAGTGGCGCTATGGCTCAAGTGGTAGAGAGCTAGCCTTGAGCTGAAGAGCTGAGGGACAGCACCCAGGCCCAGAGTTCAGGCCCCATGACTGGACCCCCCCCCAAAAAATAAATAAAGTTAGTGTGGAATATTGTGACTGAAATCTTGCTTTGAGACTCTTTGCTGACTACTAAATTGTGAAATCAGGCATACATAAAAGTACCTGTGAGTATCTGGAGCTATTTTCCTTGGATTTTCCCTAATCTTTCATTGTGGTTACAAATTATATACTACCACAGTTCCATAGGATGGAGCACATCCATCCAGCCTTAATACAACTGTTTCCCAATTGTTTAAGCGTACATGTAGGAAAAGTGTAGAAAAAGCTACCCTTCGTAAGGGCCATTAGAATAAACAAAGGCTACTGTGGCTGGATAGCCAGTCAGGATTCTAGTTGTTAGCAGTCTGTCTGACTGCTTAAGGGCTGAAGAGATCATTATCTTGGCATACTATAGCTCATTTACACACATCAAATGACACACTCTGACAAATATAGTTAATTCCCTGAACCTCCCATATTTGGTAATATGTAACTAAAACTTTACACTGTGGCTGTATATGGTGGTCTATACTTACAATCCTGGTACTATGGAGGTAAATGCAGGAGGACTGAGAATTTGAGGCCAGTTTGTACTATGTAGTAAACATCAAGCCAATCTGAGCTATGTATCAAGACCCTATCTCAAAAAATCAAGTTAACAGCTAGGTACTGGTGGCACACCCTTGTAATCCTAGCTACTCAGGAGGCTGAGATCTGAGGATGATGGTTTGAAGTCAGACTGGGCAGCAAAGTTCATGAGACTGTTATCATGGAGCAGTAGCTCAGGTGATAGAATGTTAATCATGAGCAAAAAAACATTCACAGGCAGTGCCCAGGCCAAGTTAAAGCCCTAGAAATTAGCAAGAAAGAGAAAAGAAAAGGAAAGAAGAGAAAAGAAAGAAAGAGAAGAAGAGAGGAAGAAAAGAAGGAAGGAAGGAAGGAAAGAAGGAAGAAGGAAGGAAGGGAAGGAGGGAGGGAGGGAGGGAAGAAGGGAGGGAGGAAGGGAGGAAGGAAGGGAGGGAAGAAAGTAACAACAAAAACCCCCAACAAAAAATACTACAACAAACAACTCCAGAAAAGTTACACACTGTAAAACTTATAATAGATTGAGGCTCATTTACCTATCACTGAAAAGTAACAAAGGGCACAGTAAGGCAGCTATGGGTAGGTTAGGAATCATAAACTCAGGCCCATCTTCATAAGAGATCTTTCCTACCTAGGGCTTACTGTTTGGCTTAGCATACTACTTTAGGTTTACATCATGCCTTACACCAGGCCTTACACTCACTTTTCCAAATGGAAATAGAACTTGACACTTTTGATTAGAAATATTTTACAAGAATTATATATTGGATGAATATTCTGAATTAACAGCGACAACCACAGAAAGAAATTTGGCAGGTAATGCCAGGTACCAGTGGCTCACACCTGTAATCCTAGCTACTCAGGAGGCTGAGATCTGAGGATCATGGTTCAAAGCCAGCCCAGGTAGGAAAGTCAGTGAGATTCTTATCTCCAATTAACCACCAGAAAACAGGAAGTGGCCCTGTTGCTAAAGTGGTAGAGTGCTAGTCTTGAGCTGAAGAGCTGAGGGACAGAACCTAGGCCCAGAGTTCAAGCCCCACGACCAACCAGACAAAACAAAAAAAAAAGAAAATTAAAAAATGAGAAATAATCCAGAATACTTACCAATCTTTTTGTGATATGTTCTTATTATAAATTTGCCCAGAATTCTCTTTATAGGGCGGGCAGATACATTTACACCGGACATCCTCAAAATTCTGTAACCAAAACAGAAACAGTTTAACTCGTTTGTGGTTTATCACCATCACTTATCAAGTATTCTAAAACCAGTGACTTATTAATAATATTTATGGGTCACATGACAATCAAATGGTATTAACAGTACCATCCACCTGCCAATAGAAAGACATATAGTTGACAAACAGTTATGCCTATACATACAGTTGATTACAAAAGGATGAGGGAGAATCAAACTACAAATGACTCACAAATCACAATTTCTGGACTACGGATGTAGATCAATGGTAGAACATGTGTGCACATATGTATACACACACAGTTCCTCTACCATCCTTTTTTTTTTTTTTGTCTGTCAGTCATGGGGGCTGAACTCTGGGGCCTGGACACTGTCCCTGAGCTCTTCAGCTCAAGGCTAGCGCTCTACCACTTGAGCCACAGTACTTTCCTGCCCGGGCTGGCTTTGAACAGTGATCCTCGGATCTCAGCCTCCTGAGTAGCTAGGATTACAGGTGTGAGCCACCGGTGCCCAGCTCACTTCCAACTTTTTTCTGCTTATGTGGTGCTGAGAAATTGAACCAGGGGCTCATGCATGCCAGGCAAGCGCTCTACCACTGAGCCAACTTCCCAGTCCCTATCATCCTTTCATAAAGAGGTACTGATAGGAATTAAAAAAGGTTGGAGTTAGAATATCATGGAACGAATGAAGTTTTAGAGCCACTTAATTATAAATTTCTAGTTTTTGTAGTAAATAGGAGAAGTAGAAGTTGCTTGATTCTAGCAGAGATCAGTTTGGCCTATTCCCAGGAAACTCTGCTTCCATTCCTTGGTTCGTAGAGAGGATGACTACCAGCAAAACCAGTTTCAGGAGGCACAGGAGGAGGTGATTACATATCTGGATTGAGAGAGCAAGAGAAGCTTCCTTGGCAGTGGGAATTGGAGAAGGCATTGGCTCAAACAATACAGAACCATGCCCACTGCTCCTATACACAGTGATTCCTCCACAGAGCTGTTGTTCATAAGCTTATTCATCAACCACTTAGTATTCACTTGCTCTGGGCCAGATCTTAGGCTCGGTGAGGCCGACTCAAGATAAGCATAAGGCATAGCTCCTGCCCATTAGGATACGCCCTAATAAGGGGAGACTGATAAATATATGATGATGATATACTACCTAAAATGATGGCCAGAAGGAGATGGTGCCGCAATATTTTTGAAAGTCAGGAGAGTCAAGAATCTCGACTGTCCTTATTTATGGTGGGAGGTCAGGAAAATTTTTAAAGAACTCCCATCAAACACCATCTACCTGCCTGTAACCTGTCTTTCTCAGCACTTGCATTTAAATATATTATAGATAAAAGCTCCTAACTTAAAAACTGCAATAGCATGTTTTCCAGTGATACTAATGTAAATCCCTCCATGTTGCCCAATAATGAATTAGCTCATCAGAGGAGAAGCACATTAGTACATAGGCGTCAGGCACCAGAGAACAGCAAGATAGGACAGGGAAGGTCAAGAAATGGACACGGGCAAACACTACAACCTCACTTCTCCTGTAGTTTGGTTCTTCCCTTACTCCTTAAGTTAGCAATCGAGAAGCAGGGGGCCGGGGGCGGGGGGGTGGGGACCGCAAGGTCCGGAAGGTCCAGAAGGTTAGGTGAGAAGACCAAGCTGGGGAGACACTGTAGCTCCTCTAGGGAAGGGGGGCTGCCAGGAGAAGCGAGTTCCCGCAGGGGGAAGAGAATGGGTTCAGGAATGCGTTGAGGGGGTTAGTTTTCCCCGGGCCACGGGGGCGGGGGCGGGCGGAGAGGCCGAGGGGCTGAGCAAGGGGGTGCTGGGTGAAGGTTGCAGCCCGCAGAGCGGGAACGCTGTAGCGCGCGGTGGGTCAGTCGGGGCCGGGAAGGGGACTGGCTGTCCAGTGGGCACTGACAGGACCGGGGGAGGCCGTGGGGGCTGAGCCGGCTCTAGGAGAGCATGGGGGGGGGGTCCGGGCCTGGAAAGCCAGGGGTCTGGCGGTGAGGACTGGGCGAGAACTGGACCGGGGAGCAGGTGGACAGACTCGGCTTCCGCCGGACCAGAGGCTAGGGAGGAGCTGCTGTCAGGAGCCACAGCCGGGCGGGACTCACCTTGGCCGCGTCTGTCAGCTGCACCAGCAGCAGCAAGGAGAGCGCCAGGCAGGACAGGCTGAGCACCGAGCCGAGCCGCAGGAGGCCTCCCCACCACAGGGTCGCCATGGCGGCACCCCAACCAACCCCAGCTTGGAGCCCACAGACCCGGCTCCTGGCCCGGGATCCGACTCCGGATCCGCCGCCCGCACTTCCGCCTGGGCCTTCGCGTCACCCGCCGTGCCGGGTCAGCTGCAAAAAAGTCTCCGCCCCGGAAACGGTTCCCGGTACGAAAGGCCCGGAGGCTGCGCGGTCCCGGCGCCCGGCCCGGCCCGGCGGAATCTGCCCTGGGGCGGCTACCGAGGCCTCGCAGAACGCTCCGGCGCTCGGGTATCCTCCCCCGCGCCGAGGCAGCGGGGGCCGCAGGCGGTGTCAATTCGCTGGAAAGTTCTCGAACTGAGGGGGTCCTCAGTACGCTCGGGACGGCTGACCCGAGGCTCTAACATTCCGTGCGGGGCCGGAGCCGCTCACGCCCCGCCCCTGGACGCGGGGTTAGACGTCGGCCCCCTCAGGAATGGCTGAAAGGACCACTGAGGCCGGCGAAGCCAGCCTCGAGGACGCGGCGGGGCCGGGCCAGGCATCCCTTCCCGGGAAGCCCACCCTCGTGGAGGATGGTCTCCTGCGCTTGGGGTACAAACCTGGGGCCCCGGGCCTCCGGACGCAGCTCCCCGCGAGTCCCTGGCCGTCTGCTGGAGCTGCGCGTGTGGGCGTGGCCTCCGCTCCGGTGGAGCGCGGTGGTTCAGCCCGCAGCCTGGACGCAGCCTGCCGCGGAGGAGCTGGGCCGGCCCCGGCCGGGCTCCCGACCGTGGGGAGCGCGCCAAGGAACCGCCCAGCGGGATCCTCCGCCCAGGATTCCTGGAGGGGGGCCGCTACGCCCCGGGAAGGCCGCGTTTACTTAGGGCGGCCGACCCCCAAATCAGCTGGGAGAGCGCTGACCTCCTCTGGGTGCGACCTCGTCTGGGTTCTCTCGGGTAGTTGAGGAGCACCCTGGAGAGGACACGTATCTTCTGTCAGATGTTTTTCAGTTAGTGGGAACTTTGGAGGTAGTGGAAAGGATACGTGGCTCCTCACAACCTCTGGGGATTTTCAAATGACTTTGGTCAGATCACTACCCTTTTCTGGGTCTTTGGTTTCTGGCTCTAAAGGGGGGAATTGAATTCTATGAATTTCAAAATGTCCAATGAAACCCATCTTTCTTTCTCTTTTTACAAACAGGTATTAAAATCGATTTTTTTTTTCTGGTCGGGCATGGTGACTCGAACCTGTAATCCTAGTTATTTGGGAGATGGAGATGGGGAATCCATAGTGCCTGTTATCCCAGCTACTGAGGAAACAATGGCTGGGTGCAGTGGTATGTGCCTGTCATCTCCAAGGAAGCACAAGTAGATCATTTGCCTAACAAGTGCAAGGCCCTCTGTTTAATCCCCTGTATATGTCCTTCCTTCAAAAAAAAAAAAAAGTGTTCCTTTTCTAGCTTGTGGCAGTGTTTTAATTAACAGGTAGAACTTTCTCAGCATTTTTTCTCTCTCTCATGTGATTCTTGTTGATGGTTAGGTCAGAATCTAACACAAGGTGCTATTGCACTAAATATATTTAGCTTATTTCATCCCCCAAAGACAATGGCAAGCCCCAACCAGAGCCAGATCAGCAGTGTTCAATGCCTTCTTACCCTTCTCCCATGAAGATGTTGTGACATCTTGTGGTATTCTGCTGGCTTGAGGTCTACCTAGAGACACCCTGGTCAAATGTATTGGTGTAGTACCCTATCATTGTGAATCTGATTGCTAAAATTAGATTTGGTAACAAATCTAAAGCCAGTTTGGGATTGTCTAGAATCTCATAGGCCTTCTCTTCCACCAAAATTGTTCCAGAGCTAGATTCTAGTGGGTCATGCCTGTCATTCTAGCTACCCAGGAGGCTCAGATTTGATTATTGCAGTTTGAAGCCAGCCCAGGCAGAAAAGTCTAAGAGATTCTTATCTCCAGTTAACAATGAAAAGCCAGAAGTGGAAGTAGCTCAAGTGGTAGAGCACCAGCCTTTAGCAAAAAAAAGCTAAGGGAAGGGCCCTCATTCTTAAGTTTAAGCCCAAGTATTGGCATACATACGATTTTTTTCCCAAAGTGGTGTTGTGGGTACAGAGGTTCACAGAAAATTATATAGAGTAATGTCTCTGTTAAATGGGCACATTCAGTCATTCAGAGAGGAGGTCTGTGTTACCCAGGCTAGTCTCAAACTTGTGGGCTGAAGGGATCCTCCTTCTTCGCTTTCTTGAATAGCTGGGACTATAGGCATGAGCCACTATGAATGGTTGACCTCATTAGTTTAGTGGAGAAACACCAAATAAGAGCTGCCCTGTCCAATTACTACCCAGTAAATGTGTATAGTTTAAATAGAAATATGCTGTAAATGCAAAATACTCATGGCTTTTAAAGACTTTATGTGTAAAACATTTTAATTTTAAGATGCTGATTAAAGCTTATTTTGGAGGTATGGGGTTACATGATTAAATTTTAGTTTTTTGACTTTTCAGATTTGGTTCTTAGACCATTTTATATTAGGTAGAATATAAAATGTATCTTCCATTAATGAAGTGTGACTATTAAGATTACTATGTGACTGCAGACTAAATGAAGATTCTAAACAAGGTGAAAAAAAAATCAGTGACAGAGAGTAACTGGCATAGGTAGAACAGTAGGTTTGAGGGATCTACAGCTGACAAAAAAAGTGTCATTCTAGGTGACTGGATAGGGTTGGGTTCTGCTTATACCTTTTAGTGCTTTTCTTTAGGCCAGGGATCTCTTACACCAGAAAACCTTCCTAACAAGCATACTTTTCTATATTAGTACACATCTTTTTCCTAACTTAACTCCATTATGATAAAATTAGGTTTTCGTGTATACCTTTATATTCTCAACTTGCACCAAATATTGCTAGCAATTTGAACATTGACATCAAAACAATAGAAGTAGAGACCTGGGAAAGGGAACAAGAGTAGGATACTCCTCTAATCAGTTAAAAAAAAAGTATCAAGCACTTACATTTCTCTTATTTGATTTCTAACTACGGGAGATGACACTAAGGTGTCCAAATGGAACCTGAAGCAGGGCAGATAGTAGGCAGGGAAAGATTAATGACCTAGGATCACCATGGAGTTTTATTTATATGCTGAATTGGCTTTGGTATCTATTCTCCCTGTTTTTCTTGCTTACTTGTAACTAAGTTTTCCTACTCTATTTCTTTCTTATTTTAAATGTTTTTCTCTCGTAGTGCTAAAGATCAACCCCAAGGTCTCATGCAGTTTAACTTTCGCAGTGAGTTACATCTCCAGCCCTAATCCACTTCTCTTAAGTGACAATGGTCCAGTTGTACCCTCTCAACTGGATTCTCTCACTTTATGGAGATAAAAAGAAGACTTTATTTAAATTTACGTAAAGTGAGAAGGTTAGGAAGCCAAGGTTATTGTATACATAAACACACACAAAATCTGAGACAAATGTATCTGGGACCAAGGCTGTCTGCAGCTACATTCCCCTCCAGTGATAAATTAGCTGTCTGCATGTTCCTTTCTTTCTTACTCCTTTACCCCATCCTTTATATCTACGCCAAACACCAAACCAGGAAAAAAATGGAGTCATGTATAGCATCAGTGATGATAATTCCTTTGAATTGTGTGTCCAGTAGTTATGATAGAACACACACACATACACACACACACACACACACACACACACACCCCTAAATACACATTATGGGTCAACCCATAAAATAATTTATTGTATTTCATTTTTTTTGGGGGGGTC